CCCCCCCCCCCCCCCCCCCCCCCCTGGGGGGAAGAGGAAACCCAAACAAAAGGGGGGGGGGCCCCCCTGGTGGATTCGGAGTGGTAATGGGGGTTCAAGGGTCAGGCCCCCCCCCCCTCTTTATTTCCCCAGCAGTTGTTCGATCCGCAAGTGGACGCGTTGGCGAACAGCCCCCCTGACCCCCCCCCCCCCTTCCTTTTACACCAGCAACGACTTCGATCAGCACGTGGACGTGCTCGCCGACGGCCACCCCCGCCGCAAGGGCCTAGTCTCCCGGATGCGCCGAACGGCCTCGAACGTCATTCGTCACCCCTTCCGAAGCAGCAGCAGCAACAGCGGCGGCGTCTCCCGCCCGGGCGCCGCTGACCTTACCGGCAGCGGCGGCGCGCACAACGCCCCCTTCGGCAGCGGCGACGGTGGCGGTAGGCAGGGCCAGCGGGGAGGAGGGGCGAGGGGAGGAGGAGGGGGCTCCGCGGGGGGCATGGGGGTGGTACCCGCCCTCAGCATCAGCAGCGCGTCGCCGGGGTCTGTGTCGACGGCGGTGCCGACGCCGTCCGCGGCGACGCCTGCCAGCGATCGAGATCAAGGTTCGTGTTTTTTTTTTTTTTTCGTTTACTTACACATTGCGTGTGTGGTTTGGCACCACCCGGGGGTGTGCGTGGAGAACAAGGTTCGTTGTTGTTTATTCCGTTTCCTTTTTTTTTTTTTTTCTTACAAATGTCACAAGAAATCCATTTCTTCCACAGATAAGATAATGATTCCGTGGTTATTTATTTCTACGGTTCCCCGAGCAGCATTCAGCGATCGATATCTCCCTTGTGGGTAAGGCTCTGCCTGTTTTCTTGCTGTTTTCCCGTTAATATTGACTGTGCGGTTTGTGGTCCGGGGCGTGGGTAGAGATTGGCACGGGCGTTGGACCGGTGAGGTAGTGTTCGAGATACACGACCCATTCCCCGCTGCTGCGCTTTATTATTGACCCCATTCTGGCCTCTGCTAAGCATGTACTACCGCAGATTCCTCGGTTTGGCCGATTTCGACGTCCCTTACTTCGTTCTTCAAGCCCAATGTCCTTGTTCTTTCTTTTTTCCCCACAAAGACAAAAGGCGATTTCGTTTTTTATGCACAGATGCTGCTGTAAGTGTGCAATAAATGAGCAATGAACTCATTGCCTTAGCGGGCACGCTTCTTTACCTGTTTCGTTTGCGCGGCGTTTGGTATCGTTGTAGATTCTCTATTTCTCTTATTCGCATTCTTATTCAAACACCGTGGGGTTTTCTGTCATGCGAGAAAGAACGAGAGGATACATGTAGCTGCAGCCTTTGCGCCTGTTTTATGTGCCGTTATTTCGTGGTCTTGGTCTTTTTCACCAAGCGTGGACACCCACCCCCTTCCCATGAACTTGGCGTGGCACCCCGAAACACACAACAGGTAGCCGAGGCGACCATGGCAATGCCCGAACATCGGGGGCGGCGGGGGCGGCGGGGGGAGGGGGGGGATTCAAGGACGATGTCAATGTTGCTGCAGCGGGGGATGGGGGAGGGGGGGACTCGTTTTGCTTCTCGAACCAAGACAAGAAGAGACAGAATCGAGAAAAGGCCCAGCAGCAGCAGCAGCAGCGCAAGCAAGGGCGTGGCTCCAGTGCTGCGGCAGGACAGCATGGGGACAGCAGTGGTGCCGGGGGGCGGGGTGGGGGTGGCAGGGGGGGGGG